CTGCTTCAACAAAGCAGTCAGCCTCAGGTTGCTGTGGTTTGACCCCCACAACTCCAGCCAGCCAAACATGCCCTAAATGCATTCTGAGCCAGCCAAAAAAATAAAATGGTAAAAGACTGAAAGGCTGAGGGTAAATTCTGAATTTTGATACACTCAAGGAGGATGCATGTGGTGGCACAGACTTGCAACTCTAGTACTTGGGAGGCCCAGGCAAGAATGCCTAAAGTTTAAGTTCAACCTGGGTAATATAGTGAGCTAACAACAGCCTGAACTACATATGGAGACCCTGTCTCAAAAGCAACAGCAACAATAACAATAAAAATCCACTCAGGAAAAGTTCCCCCCCCCCCCTCGGAGAATGATTGCCCTTAAATTTTGTTCTGGCCTTTTTACTAGCTGTCTTAAGTATCTTTTCTTTTTCTTTCTTGATGGTACCCAGGCTCAAACTCAGGACCTTGCACTTGCCAAGCAAACATTTATTCCACTGAACTATCTCCCAGCCCCTGTCTCAAACCAAACAAACAACCCAACTTTCCCAATTCTACAAAAGAGTAATGTGGAAGGAAACAACCTTTAGCTGGTAGATGGCCTTAGGTTCAGCTCCCAACTGTCTCTTGCTAGATAGGTGACTTTGGATAAATTCATTATTCTTTTTTTTTTTTTGGTGGAACCGGGGATTGAACTCAGGTCCTTGAGCTTGCCAGGGAAGTGCTTATTCCACTGAGCCATCTCCCCGGCTCCTAAATTCATTATTCTTAAGTCTCAGTTTATTCATTTTAACTGAGACAATAACAGGACTTTCCTCTTAGAACTGTTACGAGCAACTGCCTCTAAAGCACTCAGCACAGAGCATAGAATCAAGTAGGGAACCAAATGTTAGCTACTGGCACTTCGAACATTCAGGTGTGAAACATGCTTTGCAAAACTAATTGAAACTGAATAGGTAAGAAGCCACACAACCTTTATTTATTTATTTATTTATTTATTTATTTATTTATTTATTTTTTGTGGTACCGGGGATTGAAAGCAGGACCTATTGAGCTATCTCCCCAGCCCTCTACACACAACCTTTTTTTTTTTTTCCACACAACCTTTTAAAATAGCAAAGGCTTATGTTTAAATCAGTCATTTATACAAAAGATATCCGATTATGTATGTGTACTAGTATTGGTTGTGTTTCTCCTTTTCTTCTGTCTTCAGTTCCAGAAATACTGATTTCAAAGAAGTAAACTTCTTAGACTCTGATTTTGAGCACTTTAGCTGCTCACTTACCATATTCCCATGCACACTGGCAAGTACCATGGAGTAACAGGTGGCTTATGATATTTTTAGGTATGTGCATCACAAGTTTAAATAAAACCTTGTTTTAAAGTAAACATCTATTTTATACTTGGCAGACCTATCTGCACTTAACTATAAAATATCTGTATTTAAAGGGAGAATTTCATCTGACCCTTTTATTTCTCTTTCTTGCAAACCATGCCATGCCCAAATCATTCTACTGTATTTCATATCCAGTGACACATACCTGTAAGTAAAGGGAAGAATTAGAGCCATGGGACATCTTTTGCACCATCCCATCTTTCTGTAGGATGCATTCCTCCAAGTGAATCACATTTGGATGCTGGCTCTTGATACTGCTTAGTGCCCAGAACTCACGAAGAGCTAGTTCAACATTTTCAGGTGCGTGGCATCGAATTTTCTTCACTGCAACCCGTGCAGAAGTCTTTCTGATGACGGCTTCATACACAACACCGTAACTACCTCGGCCTACCTCCCGTATTAGATCGTACTTTGGCTGGCTACTCACCATCTTCAAGGTTGAGGTTTCTACAAAAATCAACAAAGTGCTCTTGAAATTAGGTATACCTAGTGGCTGGTATTTCTCTTTATGTTCATCTGTCTCACTCTGCAGTGCTTGAAGGATATTTGATATATCTTGGACAAATCTAATTCTCAATAATAAAGCTAACAGGTAGTACCTATATATCAGGAACTATTTCAAGCACTATATAATGCTCATTTAATCTGTACAATCTTATGTGGTAGGTATTATTATAGACATTTTAGTGATGAGGAAATTAAAGTACAAAGAGATTAAGCAAAATATCTAAGTCAAAAAGCTCTAACAGGTGGACCTGGGATTTGAAATCAGGCCATTTGGCTCAGCCAGCCAAGATTTCAACTACTAAACTATATAGTCCCTCACTA